AGAGAGAGAGAGAGAGAGAGAGAGACATCACTGATGCTCACAGGGGATATGGAGGGGGGAGTTGGATCTGCAGAGTGATGTGTGAGGAGTCTGTGAAAGAGGAAATGCATGGGTGAGGGCATGGAGGAATGTTGATGGAGCAATGGGAAGGTCATGGATGTGAGGCACATCCATAATACTTTCTCTGGTCTCAGTTATCTTCCTGTTTATTTAGCTTGAACTGCACCTTTGAGGAATCCTTTCTTTCAGAGACTGCCCCGGAATTCCTGTGCGGTCTGAACATTGTTGCTAGAGTAGGGTACACTGGTGAGTCAGCGTGTACTCACATCAAGATTCTATTTGAATGTGTTTCAATGCCCATGTTCTGTCAAGCCAGGTCTCAGTCCGGCCACAATGTCATTTTGTGTACCATAGAGAGAGAGACACACGGCTGAACGACATCTCAAAGCACTATAGCCTCTTTTACTGGTGGTCTTAGAGAGAGACACTGACATTTCATGCAAGAAGCTCAACGACATTTTGTGTACCATAGAGAGCAACAGACGGCTAAACGACATCTCAAAGCACTATAGCATTTCTCAGCAACAGTTCAGAATAAGAGGCTGAACGACATCTCGCAGCAACAGTTGCTGTGAGCATGTGTGCTAGAAATAATCCCTCTTGTGAAAGATGCTTCAAATAAGGGCCTGTTTGAATCCAAAGGCATCCATGTGACATCTTCTTTGACTGCTCGGGTCATTCTCGTTGAGCACGTGGACAACGAGTGGCGATTTGTTCGATTTGCACTGTTGATGCGAGATGATTGCAGAGAAGTCTCTGCACAGATTCCTGCTGCGCTCAGTACATAGGTCTCCGTCATATGTGATATTACTGTCCTTATCTCTTAGCAAATGCCAACGACAGATGTATGAAGTCCCGTGGCTCCATTAATGAACCTACGGAGTCGTCCGTGCCAGGAGTGGTGTTGGTTGGTTTCACGCAGCCGTTTCGTTTCACCTCAAGTTAGCTGTTACGATGTCAGTAGTTTCAGTGAGCTGTGAGAGTATATGACCAACTAGGTATAGATGATCTTAGCGGCATCTCCTTGCCCTGAGCTTTTGCTGATGTAGACAAGGAAGAGACTCGTAGAAGAATTCTGTGCGTTCACAAGCAACAGGGGACTGCAAGGCTATTCCATACCTCTCGCTCCTTGCTGTCCGCTGTTTCTGATCAATGAGGACTGGTGAATTACTACCATATCTATTTGCTGTCCTCCATGACCAGCTAGGTATAGATGATCTTAGCGGAATCTCCTTGCCCTGAGCTTTTGCTGATGTAGACAAGGAAGAGACTCGTAGAAGAATTCTGTGTGTTCGCAAGCAACAGGGGACTGCAAGGCTATTCCATACCTCTTGCTCCTTGCTGTCCGCTGTTTCGGATCAATGAGGACTGGTGAATTACTACCATATGTATTTGCTGTCCTCCATTCACCTCTCTCTCCCCACTTCTCTTCGTCCCACAGCTGCATCTCTACTTCGCCTGCAAGGCGGCTTTGAAGAAAAGAAAAATCTAGTCTATGGCACTTTGTTCAGAACAGCCTCACTCACACTTGTTATTCTTGTGCTACAGCTTGCGCTCTCCATTTTTTTTGAGTCCACTGCTGTAGTCAACTACTGCCTTCACCTTCACCGGAATGGAACGCCTGGTCATTTTAGGTATTCGGTGAAACTTTCACTCCAGGCGACGCAGGCGTTCTATTTTTGGATGAGAAGAGGTTAGCTCTGACCTTTTGTCATTTCCAGACGACGAAGAGTAAGTCTGGCGTGATACAGGCTTTGATTCAATTTTGTCGGCATCCTGCCGTCTGGTGTACGTCCATCCAGCCCGCAAGTTTCCTTCAGCCGAGTTTCTGAATTGCTGTGTTGCTTTTGCCAGCAGGCTTGCTCTGCATTTCTTTTGCCTGCGGGTTTTGCTTTGCAGTGAGGCGGCCTCAAAGTGGGGATCACTTGTTATGTCGTCGAGTCGATGTCGACTGGCTTCCATCGATCTTGCCTCACTCATCCAGTGGAGTGCTGTATCGAGCGTTTGAATGCGCTATTGGCTGCTTTTCTTTCCTCTGCGTCTCACTTTTGTCTGTTGCCTCTCTGGCAGGAATCATTTGTTATGCTGTGGAATGTCTCGCATCCACAGCCTCAAAGTGGGGATCACTTGTCATGTCGCTGACTGGCTTCCATCGGTCTCGCCTCGCTCATCTAGTTGAGTGCTGCATCGAGTGTTGCTTTTCTTTTCTCTGCGCTTCACTTTTGTCTGTTGCCTCTCTGGCCGGAATCATTTGTTATGTTGTCGACTGCCTTGCATCCATCGTGCTCATCTACTTGAGCGTTGCACTGAGTGTTTGAATACGAATGGCTGCTTTTCTTTTCTCTGCGCTTCGCTGTGGTGTGTCGCCTGTGTTTTACTCTCTCTGACGCGGATCATTTGTTATGTTATTGACTGCCCTGCATCAATCTTGCTCACCTAG